ATCTATATACATGTATATATATATATAGGGTGGTCCATGGAACTGATTGTGAGCCGGGCTCTAGCACTTGTTCTGTTAAAGATAGAAAAAATGGCAGAAACAGAAGTTAAATAGCATAACTAAAAAATTTCGAATATCTCATAAAATATTTATTTTTCGAGCACCTTACCCTAATACTTTTATACATAGATTATTTAGAAGAATCTATTTATGCGAAAAGAAATATATAATTCCATTTAAAAAAAATGCAATTGTACTTTTCTGCTGCACTGTTACTTATGAAAAAAATGAGTGGATAGAAAAATGTTTCATGTCATACTATTTAACTTTTGCCTCTACCATTTTTTTTTTATCTTCAACAGAATAAGTACTAGAACCCGGCTTAGTTCCGTGGACCATCCTCCTATCTCCCCCCTCCCCTTCCTCCCTCTCAAGTAGTTCCGGAACCGAGTTGTATTGCAATTAAAACAGAACGGACCATCACCAATCCAAAAAGTCAAGCTGTAAAGAGACATGTGAAATGTTCGCGAAAATGGTACATTAAATCCGTATCACTGGCGACAATCTAGAACTGGTTTGATCGACAACTTGGCTCTGACATGGCCACGGCGACGTAGCCGGCTCTCGTTTTCTTACCCACCTAGTATGCATACATCCGGTCGATCTGTACTCCAGCAACTTTCCTACTTCATTCATGAACGCATTCAGTGGCCTTTGAAGGTTGCACTGCTTGCAGAAGGGAGCGGTAGACATGAACGCGCGTGTTGCGGCGCGGAGATGCGGGCAGGGACGTGAATTAGAAGGGGAATTTCACTCACCCTCTGCAGAAGAGAAACTACCGACACATACACACACACACACACACACACATACACGAATTATACACAATATATACGTATGTTTAACATTTTTGTACATAGAATAAAGCTTCTAGATCTTTATGTTACTTGTTTTTACATGATAATTACATTTAAAAAACATAGCAAAAGGTATTGATCGAAATTTTGTCTCACGAATAGATTGCTTGGTTCAGGTATATATGTGTTGAACAGTCTAAGAGTGGGTGCACGCTTATCTCGTTACGCTACTATTGGCAAAGTGGCGCTCGGACCGGCTAACACGCGGACCAGTTTCAGAGCATAATACCTTCGTGGAAATGCACCACTGATTATGAAAGAGACTCGTAGAGCATTCACGTCTCACGTGGCCTCATTGTTTAAGATTTATTTGACCGCATGGATATCTTACAAGTTTTAAAGCGGAGTTCGTACTTGCAAATATTAGAATAAGTTAAAATATTTTCATAACTTTTCACACATTTTACATCTTATTTTAGTCTTAAAATAAAAAATAAAATCATATTGTACTCTAGCAGACATTTTTAATATTAAAATATAATGACAAAATTAAATTTGATTGTAATCTGTAATTTTTCATCTCCAACGGGAGCATATCTCTGATATTATTATCGATTTATTTATGATCAAAATACAAAAATTAATTTGTCATCAATGATATTTAATGATTTTAAATCAATTTGAAACATAAATTTCATTTCACGAATATTTAACCGGCTTTATTATAGAGGATTTTATATTTGATCACTTGTGTGAGTTAGCAGAGCTGCGGCTTAGACTTTCACCGTTTCTCGCGTTACTACGGCGAATAATGCATCTCTTGCGAGTATTCGCGTATAATGCGAGATCTTTTAGAAATTCAAGGCTCGGAATTCCGTGGTGGAAAAGCTGAATAAATACAGATTTCTTAAGAGAGTGTGTTATGTGAGTAGTGTTGACAAAGAAATATATATCTAATGCCATAAGATACTTGATATTTAAGCGACACAAATGCGACCCTGATAATAGGCTCAACATCATTTTGCTTGACATTTCAGAGCAAACGACTTGTACAATATTTCTTTTGAATGACAAAGGATTTCTCTCAATTGAGGAATTTTCTCAATATTTTCTCGACCAACGAAGCAATGTAACAGCCTTACGCCTTTTGCATGCACCGCGAGGTGAGACGTTTCATCTTCCAAACCCCGCGTTCCATCGAAAATTCCATTCCTCCACTCCACTCCGTGCATACAGGTAACGCCGCACAGATAACCCGCTCGCTGGCTTGCTCGCACGCTCGCACGTGCGTGAGAGAGGGTTGAAGTATCCGGCGGTGGCGCCTCGCACGAAGAAAGTTAGCCGCCGGCCGTGTGAAAAAGAAGAACAGAGACGGCGCGCACACTGACGTAGCGCGCGCGTGCGCTCCCGTGTATATACACGGTGCACGTGTCGGAGCGGCGCGGTGGTGGGGCGGAAACGTGAATGATCCATAGAGAGTCAGTACGATAGTGTGCGACGGTGTGGCGCGCACAGACGTAAAACGCGCTGGTGTGAGTATCGTCGATGATCGTTCAGCGTTGCCCCGCGTTTATGTCAGGAACTCTCAATTCTTGTATTCGATTTCGTAAACCGGAACAATATAGTGCAATATCTTTTAAGCAAATGTCACATTGCCGATACTATCTGCGATACACAAAATTGTTGTTTTTACAAGCGATATTTTTACTTTTTGATACACCGTTAACATTATTTATTTAAATAGATTTTTTCGTGTATAATTTTAGATCGAGACGAGAATTTTAGGTTAGGGTTAGGTTAAGTTAGATCAAGACAGTTTGGAACTTGAATTAGCAAGCAACATTTTTCACTTGTCGAAAGTGAAATGTTGTCAAAATGCAATGTCTTTCACTCGCAAGTTAAATTAAATTCCGATCGAATATCAAAATTGAGGGACACTGAGCTACGTCATGTAGTACTCGGCGTTACGCGCGCGTAGTGGGGCAGAGAGTCGAGAGATAAGCGGCAGTGGTAGTGATGTGAGAAACATTCGTGAGTTGGTTGGTCGGCGACATCGGCAGGCCGAGAGAGCGGAACGACGAGAAAGAGAGAAAAGTTGGAAGTGTGACGCGGAGCGAAGGAGAAGGAGCGGCGCGGCGCGGTTTCGGCTTCTTGGCATCGGCTTGATCGGCTTCAGAAATGGCCGCGGGAAAGTAGAGAGCGGAGCGTTTTGTCGCTGCTGGCAGGCAGGCTGGTTGGTTGGTCGGCCGGGTCGGAATCGGTTGGGTCGGACATTGGCTAAAATTTTTGAAAGAGCACACACGCGCTCGTTCATCCCGGCGCATCGTTCGACACACACGCGCGCGCGCGCGCGCGATCGATTCACGCAGCGATCTCGAAGAAGAGCAGCGGCGCGAGATGCAAGAGCTCGGTGCGTGATAACGATAATCTCAGGAAACTGCGTGAATCGCACGAGGACCAGGAATAGGAACACAATTATATACGATTTCTCCAGTTCAACCTGAGCGTGAGAGAGGATGGCCGGCGACGACGGAACAATGACGAACAATGAGATTCTCGGCGCGGAGCGAGGAGGGGAGGAGCAGGGTACGTCGGTGCGAGGAGAGCTGCATTCCAGAGTGGGCGGCATTCTGGAATGCGATCCCCCCGGTAACAGGAATTCGTCGAACGAGCGAGTCGCTGCCACTGCTGCCGCCGTTGCCGCCGACGACAACGAGGACGGTGTCTGCAGATATGCGGTCGGCGCTGCCAACCGCGCTATGTCTTTCTTCGAAATGTGTCAGGTATCATATCGTGTCGGCGATATATCGACTTATCAGTTACGTTTGCGTCGGTCTAATCATCGACGTCCTAATTTTCGAAATGTTCGCCCCACGGCCACATTTTCAAAATGAAATGGGGGAGAAATTTAAATATCGGACTTGTCGTGTTTTACAATGTAACACTTTTAATTGTCAAAATTCAAATTAATCGATATCATTGATTTTGTCTTTCAGATTCGACTGCAACACCTTTTTCCACAATTAAGCTCACCGCCTCGGTACAATATTCACGACGATTCCATAGAATCGACAGCGGAGAGTCTGGCCAACGATGTAATACGGTATTTGTTGAAAGAGGATATCTATCAAATGTCACAGGATTCAGTGTCTCGCAGCATGAGGCATAATGTGTATCAAATGCTCAACAAGCACAGTATTCTCTTTACGAGTATGGTGAATCGTCTAAATGTAGTCCCGGACACTGCGTATGAAACATTTATGGGAGTTGCTAATGAGTTATTTTTACACGGCGTTATCACGTGGGCTAGAATTGTTTGCTTATATGCTTTCATGGGCAGATTAGCCTTATGGGCGAGAGATAGAAGAATGCATAGTCTTAAAAAGAAACTGCCACTTTACATTTCGAGATACGTGGGTGAAAACATAACACACTTCATTAAAGGCTACGGCGGGTGGGTGAGTACGCGCATATTCGCCTTTGAAAGATGCGTAAGGTTTGCAAAATGTACATACCCCTGTGCTGTCTTTTTACAGGAACAATTATGCGTGGAGTATCCTGTGGCGGAAGAAATTAGCGGAGCAATTTGGAGGAGTCTATTAATGACCGGAGCCACTCTTGGATTAATCGCCACGATCTTGTCGGTAACTTCGTGATGGAGTTTTGCAAGATCGTGTGGTTTCAGTATGTCTTATCCAAAAAGTTTTTGCGTACTTATGTTCTACGAGGACACTTGAAAAAAAATGTGAATAGATTTCTATGATGTACGCACAATGTTGCATTTTACACGGACATTGGAGCAATTTGATTCAGATGGAACGCTTGCTACGTCTATACGAGAAACAAGATTAACAAAAGATATTTCAACGCGTTGACACACATAATTTTCATATCAATGTCACTCGGTTTAGACTCGTCCTACTTTTTATATAACTCCAGCCAACATACATAATATGAGCGACAGACAATGACGCTAGTTTCCTATTGCAATATCTTGTAACAAACTAGTGAAATTAGTGGACAGAATATCTTATTTAATTCTACAATGTGAACACTTGGTATTAATGTAATTTCTAATAATACTCAAAATTGAAGAAATTTTAGAAATTTATATGAAGAAGAAGAATCTCTAAATTTTATTGAATTTAGGTAGACATAATCTATTTATTCATAATTTATTTTAGGTAGAGATATTTTTAAATAATAAATTTTTTAAATATTTTTTTTTCAAAATTGATCACATCTGTATTTAAACTTTAAGAGATATGTAATATCGATAAAAAAGTAATGACTACTACAAACTATACCGTGATATATATTCAGATAATGGCTACTTTCTTATATGTTGATATATTCTATTACACTTGCAAAAATTTTATATGCATATTCAGAATAAATACTTTTATAAAATAATGATCTTGTAATCATTATCGAAGGAAGAGATATTAAAAAGGAATACTTGCTAGAAAGATAATTGATTTATCAATCAATTTTGCAATTTTTTAATCTTATACAATGTAAAATATAAAAAATTTATAATGTAATTTCTCATTTTTTGATTAAAAGAATACATACGTGCATTATTATTTTTTGTTTTTAATAAAATTTAGTAATTTTTTATATACTATCAAATGTTACTATCAATGAAAGATTTATAGGATAGAGCACAAGTTGCTGTTATAAAAATTTAAATCTAGTTTTATGAATCAATTATGTTGAACTATTACAAGCAAAATAATATGGAAACTTACTGATATGATGTAAGGAAATTTGTTTTTCTTTTTTTTTTTTCTTTGGAGAACCATTAAGTCCATATCGTCAGTTTTTAATGTATCATAAATTGTAAATGATAAGTTTTAATATACTGTTGCATTATGTCATGTGTCAAAGGGGGTCAGCCTTAATCATTACAGAATACTGTAAACTTTTAATGTATATATGTTTGCAAAATAATCAAAAATAATAACTCCATAAAAAAACAATTATTATTCCTATTGCAATGAACAATCTTTGTAACCATATCTATGTAAAATTACAGATAATGGAGAATGGAAAATGAGATTAACAATATTTTTGTTCACAATATTAATAAATACATTGGTTTGAAAATAACGAATCTAGCTTTTTTTCTGTAGAATATGTTACACAAATTAACAGTTTTTGAATATTATAATTAGTAATATAACTACTTTTACATGTGGATTTTACTTAAAATAATGTACTTATTTAAAGGAAGTTACATGAGAAATATTGGGACTCGTTGAATCTTACACATGTGAATTTCAATTATAATCATTTTGAATACATGATAAACATGTAAATATAAACCAATGATATAAACACACACACACACTCACACGCATAATAGAATGCTGGGATGACAACTTGCGTTTCTTTATTTCTTAACTAAAGAGAAGAATACATTTTTGTCAAGGAAATATATTAATGGTTATTTTCAACATCGTACATATCTTCATATTACTGATATTACCGAGATTTAAATCACTTTTAAGATTTACAGTGTGTGTACATATATATATAATCAACCAATTTGATCTCGAAAACGAATAATTGTTTCTTTCACACACAGACACGGATCTTATTCACTTTGATCTGAACTGAGAGAGTAAACACTAAGGAATATTATATCAACCAATTTTATCTCGAAAACGAATAATTGTTTCTTTCACACACAGACGCGGATCTTTTGCTTATTCACTTTGATCTGAACTGAGAGAGTAAACGCTGAGGAATATTATACAAAACCGTTGCGGATATTCCTTTTCGGATGTACCGCTGTTTGAATTTAAAAGTACAAGCGCAGTAACGAAATTCCAACTTAAATTCAAGTAATCATGTATATATTTGTTATATATATATATTATGTATTTGTAATGTTAACAAAGGACAACATTAAACAATGATGAGAAATTTATCCTTACAGGAATCTGATAGAGATAATAATGTACGATACTGGCTTATAACTACGTAAAGCCAAATTTTTCCTATATATTACACTTTGCTAGTAAAATATAGTCTATTTTTATTACTGCGTAAGTTTTGTCGTTTATGAAATATTCTTAAATAACAAAATAAGTAGATAAGGAAATCCTTGACACAAATTTACAATCTATTTTAACTAAAATGCAATTAAACGTCTGCATAATTGATTATAATGCTTTTCTTTTAGATATGTTTTGATAGTTTGATAGCTAAATAGTTTTTAAATTTATATACGCCATATATTTTCGTGAATACGAAGACTTACAATCGGCTCATAAGCTCAAGTTCAGGTTATGTACAAGAAATTTTGAACATTTACGAGTTTTATTTTTACACAGGATATACATACGTACATACATACATACATACATACATACATACATACATACATACATACATACATACATACATACATACATACATACATACATACATACATACATACATACATACATACATACATACATACATACATACATACATACATACATACATACATACATACATACATACATACATACATACATACATACATACATACATACATATAACATATATATATATGCATATACATATGTATATATCGTAAAGATGAATTGGGTATGAATATAGATTACAAAATCGCAAACTAGAGGAGAATTTCTGACGATCATATCTAACAATTTTCCTTACACCTAATCAAATTTTACGACTGTACAGAAAACAACTGCATTTCAACTTTTATTTCAGATCCTAACGTGCATAATAGCAAGAATCAACAATTTCTGTTTAATAAATTTTCAAAATTTTCTACTTTTACTTTCCTATTACTGACATTATACTATGTTTAAATATTATATATTTATCTTGTGAATATCTGTATCATACTAACTGTACAAAAATGGAACTCATCTCATTTTCCATTTGTATTGACAATAATAAGTAATCATTGTAATGTACATACAGCTAATAATATATATAAAACATATCGTCAGCGTTATGCATACAACATATCCATATTTAAGTTGAGAATATTTCGTTAAAAAGTTACATAGGAGTAGAGTCATTATTTTGATCATGATATGATGCGATAATATTTAAAAATATATACAAATTTGGGTATAATTATGAACTACTTGCAAAATATATCTATGCTTAAAATCAAGATTTAACAAAAAATCGAAAAATATAAAATTAAGAATGTTTCATTTAAGATGTTAAATTTATGATGTTAAATTTATGAAAAGAGAAACAGTTGTGTTATAACGTATCTTTTTTTTTACAATTTGACAATCTGTAAGGTGTCCTATTTTTACATAGAGATGAAATATGGTATACATATGTGAAAGATATCACAAACTTGGCCCCCTTTAAACTGCGTAATGTCAGTATGAATATAATTAACCGACGCATCAAATAATTCATTTATAAAAAAAGATATACACAGGAGAAAAAGAGAAAACTGGCTATATTTTCACTGTCTTGCACAAGATATTTTAAAATATATTTAACTTTCTCTTGAAACAATACACAAGCAAGAGCAGGGAAAACTCAACCATTAAAAATTGATTACATAGCACTGACGATACGCATATGGTAATTTAGTGTTTCTTAAAGATTGGCAGTTGTAGCCTGGACGTATCGTGGTCCAAAATAGAGCAAAACAGTTCAGATAAATTCATCTTAGTTGTACCTGATTTGTTTTACATTTTAAACAGCTATCCTTAAAATTATAATGGGAAGAAAATTAATAAGTTCTTAGGATTTAAAAAGCGTACAATCGACAAGTATCGATAAAATATGTCAAGTAAAATATAAGTGAACTTTTAGTCGAGTAATTTTGTATTACAACGCATGTCTGATATTAATGACGCGGCGCATTTGTTAATATAACTAATCTTCTTACAGTTATCTAAAACAATAGGGCATTTTTTTTATCAAGGATCAATGATCTACAATAATATACAACACACAGCAAGCGCAAATCAAAATATTGTCCAATCAACTTGTTGATGATCGGATGAAATTTTAATAGATCGATTTCAATATTCATCATAAACGACATTATATGTGGTGGCCACAGTGCATATAACACATTTATCACTTTGTGACATGCTCCATTTCTGTCTCTTATTAGCTCTTTCTTGGTTTATCACAGCTGGGGCAGAGGTGGGAAGGAAGAGAACTTGTGTCACACCCCAAGAAATAAAACTAGTTAAAATTCTCTATTCCTTGTAGTCCCACCATTCTTTCTCATACCCTTCGTGGACATGTTCTAAAAGCACTTTTCTTCGACTATCGCAGTATCTTTAAAAAAAAATTATAATCATAAATATAACATCTATATAACATCTTATTTTCTAATAATATGAATGACACGTAATTCTCACCTATATTTATCCTGAACCTTCTGTTTAATGTCTGCAAGATTTTCGCTCGTAATATCTCTTTCAAGATATTCAGAGAGACACTCTGTGGCGCTCTCTAAATCCTTTTGGTTATCTTCAAAGATCACAGACTGATTGTTCTTTTTCACATAATAAGCAAAGACGTAAGTGTACATAAGAGTCTGTCTACAGGAACACAAAATGTCAACTGCCTTTTTTAAAAATTGTACCTGAAAAATAAATCAACCATAAATCTGTCTGTTGATAAATTCAAGCGAGTCTGTTTAATTATTATTGTTGCACATACCTCAATCCACGACATGTTATGCTGTTGCATCTCTTCCATCTTTTCCTTCACACTGGCGTACAATTTACTCTCAAATTTCAGTGATTGCATATGATTCATATATCTATTGCAATAAAATAAATATCTCTGTAAAGCTGATCTGGATTTCTCTTGCGCATCTCTGGCTACTTTAGCTTCCTCTTCATCATAACGATTACAGTTGTACCAGCTGGAGCCATGTGGCTCCCAAGGTCCAAGACACACCCAACAAAATTCAGTTTTACAATTCTGATTTTTGCAAACCATGTGATTACACCCACCGTCTTTCTCGATAGTAACGTTGCATTTGGGACACTCTTTTGTATTAGCAGCGATCCAATTTGATGTCTCGGAATCATCATCGCACTTCTTGATCCATTTACGGAGTAAATGGCATTTTACAGGATCATGCCAGTTTTCACCACAATGAAAACAAAAAATATGTCCGCATTTGCAAGTAACAGGTCTTGCTTCTACATACTGCACTTTAACAGCATTGTTACAATCGGGAGAGGGACACCATCTCAATAACCTATTACACTGTAAGAAAGAGAGAAACATGATGAATATTTATAATATTTAATATATACATATTCAATCGTATTCGTTAAATATTTACTTCTACGAAGCTGTTAGTAATTAAGTGTTGATATTTTAGTTTAACTTTGGAATCTTTGACAAGCCGCATAACACTGGCATCATCAACTAAAATGTCACAAGCATGAGCAGCGCATGCAATTGTTTGTCCAACTCCTTCCTCCATAATTTTAGTCGTCAAATATTCGCCCCAGCAACCAGTACAAAAACGATGTCCACACTCGAGACCAGTCATCATCTAATAATTAAAAAAAAAATTATACTTTTTTATCTTTTACAGATTTCACAAAAATTATGTAAACTTACTGAAGATGGCAGGATCATAAAACAGATTCCGCATTCCTCTGTTCCATTTGTCGTTCTTTTGGACTGTCAGACAATGTAAACATATATACAATCTTTATTACACAATTTGTTAATAAAATATAAGTACATAGTCAATTACATGTATCTACCAGAGAACTTTGAGAGGATCGATTTCTGCTTATTAAAGGACCCTTTCTAAATGGATTAATGACACGTGCTTCAGCGAATAACTTTTCTTGATCGCCATCGTAAAAACGTTCCATCAATTTCTCTTTATCCCATTTAAAATGATTTAATAAAATACGTGTAGTCGTTGCTGGTATCTGTACGTTAATGCATATGTGAAATGTTTTCTTAAAAAAGTTTGCTCTATTCATAAACAACTATCATTTGTAAAGAGAATCTTACTTCGACAACAGTGTTGACTTCCTTTATAGAATCAACCATGTGCTGTACAATCTCTTCCGTGGAAAGTACTTCAAAGGGATATTCATCGACATCGGTAGCCCGCTCGCGTGGATTACCAGATTCTATTTCCATGGCAAAGTCAACATCGTCGCCACTGGACTCATTACCAGAGTCGACGTCATCGTAAAGTGTTTCTTCTTCGGAATCCATATTGTTGTGTCAAACTAACAAGTAATCTACACTGATATTTGTCCTTTTCTCAATTAATGTATGCTGCACTTATACACGCAGCACATTGGATACAAAGAATTTGCAGGAATTGATTTGCGCTGTGATAATTCAGTCAATATCTCATTCTATACGATTTCTATATACTAATACAAGCGTATATACACGATTGAGACATAAATGCACATTATAAGCTATTAATGTATTAATGTGATACAACACAAATTCATCGTATCATAGCAATGTTCACTTTCACACAATGTATGCTCGGCAAATTTAGATCTACTCCGAAATCAGCTTTGTACGTTCACAGTGTGGTAATAATAAGTGATTTGAACGAGTTGTGCGTACAATTTACAATTTCAAAAATTCGACACGCGCACCTGCTACGAGAAAACAGCTTGTTTCAGTACATGACGTCACCGTTCTCTGGTACTTTCCGAATAAAGCATGCAGAAAGACGGGAAAGACGAGCTCTCCGAGACGCACTGCTGTTAACGCGTTGCGAAATCGCCCACCGCGATAATATTTAACCTCTTCAGCGGTGGAGAAGATTGAAAAATTTTCAAACGTTTCTGTGACGGAAAAAGAAAGAGAACAAAATCAGCTGCCAAAACATCCGAAACGACTCCGGCGGCTAACGCACTAATGGCTAATCTCACGGCGAAAACGGCGGACGAAGACGTCGCTCGATCGGCAAATCACGAAATTTTATTGGCCGAACGGCCAATAACAACGTGTTTCGAAGAAATTGAGAGATTGTGTATTGGTAATATTAAGGAGGCTGTTTTAAAGCTCGACAAATTACAGACGTAAAGCTACACCGAGATATCGAGAGCGAAGTGATAGGCTCTTTAAAAGCGATCGGAGAATGTCGAAGGAATCTGCTGCGATTCGTGCACGATATAAATACACGCGCGAAGGACGAGCGTGTTGCAATTTGGATTCGCCAATTAATACGCGTTATAAAAAGGCACGATGATGCATTAATGTTTCAAAGATTCGTTCGTGACCTAGTCTCTAGTGCGCGCGAGGAAACGTCGGACTGCCAGACGTATTTCTTTGTAAACAGAAATTTTCACCAACTTGCTGATAGCGTGTCCGAACTGTCCGTTAAACTTGTGTTTCGGATAAATCACACGATAAACGAAAACTGTAAAACGCCCAGTCGCCGTTCATCTATACACTCGCTAAAACTGTATTGTTTGCATCTCGTCGAGACAAAGAAAGAAACAGAGTCAGTAACTCGAGTATCCACGGATGCGCGCGATACTCGATATCACACTTGCGGGCATCACTGCAAACACTGAGCCACGAGATCACGTCTCGCAAATATCGGGCACGCGATTATCTTCGCCCATCGCGACACATGCCGCGTAGCTAGTTTGATACACGAGGAAAGTGTTCGCGCGAATTAATCACCAAGTAACGCACCATTCGCCATGAAAGAAAGCCTTGAACGGGTCTTTAGCTGAAGCACTGCTGCCACGTCCACGATGGCGCGCGCCATCGGATATCTTCAGGCTATTGAACGACGAGCATGCCGCCGTTTCTCCCGAACTCGTCAAATCGCGACGCCGTAGCCGACAGATGAGAGTGCGCCTGGCGGAGATTGTACGAGAAATTTCGCGTGAAAGATATCTCCGCGGTGGAACGGCGCGAGATAGACCGATTCGCGAACGCCAAAAGGAATCGAAAAACGGCTGCCTACAAACTGCCGTTCCGTGAATGAGTGGCGCTAACTCCGTCGTGCTAATTCTCGTTCACGAGCGCCGTGGAGTTGGCCTCGCGTGTATCGCGCACACAGCTGACACGCAACACCACGCGACATCGCGTTAAATGTACACGAACGCTTCATGTATTGTTTACAATTAGACATTTAAGTGGAATTCGGTAAAGTTCGATTCTGATGCCAGAGAAGAGCGCTAAAATGATACTTGTGTGTTTTCTTTCGTATCAATTGAGGCATGATAATTGCTTGCATTTTTCACGGCATCAATGTTAAATATGCCGGATTTATATCGATTGCAAGCATTTATGTTTGTATATTTATGACTTAACTGCTCTGTAAATTTTACTATTTTAATTCTTTTACTTTAGCGGAGTTGAGTAAAAAACATTGCAATACATGTTGTATGGGATGACTTTTCGTTTTTGATATTACAAAATTAAGGAATCGTTTAATGGAATAAATAACATATATTAAAAGAGAATATATATATTATAAGAAAAAATATATATATAATTAAAATAAATAAATTATTAATCTTATATGTATCTTATTTATATTGATATATATATTCTTTGTAAAATTATAAAAGAGAAATTTGAAATTTTTGTTAAAGATAATTGTACAATAATTTCTGTAGCATAATGATTTATTGTCCAAATAGTAAATCTAGAATTTTTGTTGATTGACACGTGATTACGCCTATATGTGAGTAAATTGACGCACTCAAGCAACGGGTGATAAGACGAAAGTTGTATTGTCACGATAAGTCTTTAAGACTAATCTAACGTTTAACTGTTAATATTGTGACGAATTGGACCACCTATGAAAAAAATGAGTCTGCCCACCGTGAGTGATTATTGCCTGCTGGAAAAAATTGGCACCGGGAGCTACGCGACTGTGTACAAAGCATTTAAGAAGGTACGTGCAGATTTAAAGTTCGGATCGAAAACAGCATGTATTTTCATAATGACAGTAGTATTATAGTTATTGTCGGAAATGTGCAGTTCTACGCCTATATGTGTTTGGGTTTACTTATATTGTCACATTATATATTTTCATATATTTTTCGTGTATATAATTTACAAAAACATAAATTAAAAAATTATCGCCGCGGTAGCATTACATGGTAATTTAAATACTGTGACAGATTTGCTTTTTTTGATATTCAACTTTCAAATGACACATGATTCCGAAAATTGTACGAGACATTTTACAATAAAATATTAGTAGAGATATTTTTTCTAAAAATATTTGATATTACACAATTTCTCGAACATGAAATATATCGTTATGGTTTTATAAAAAAAGATATTTTAAATTTTTTCATAAAGATTTAACACTACAGTTACAGATTTTGAAATTTTTTAAATTATTGCTTTTCAATGATTTAGGACAAGAGTCGAGAAATAGTTGCTATCAAATGCGTGGATAAAGGCACGCTCTCTAAGTCAGCAATCGACAATCTCCTGACGGAAATCAAGCTGTTGAATGTCCTCAAGCACGAACACATCGTAGAGATGAAAGATTTCTTCTGGGACGAAGGGTACGTTATACACGAGATTTTACGATATTTTATACTTTATTAAGAAAATGTCCAGAATGAATTAGATTAATCGCAATGTTTGAAACAAGAAATCACTTTGATCACTGTGCGAACGTCTTGTTTTCTGAAAAAAAAACCTATGAATAGGAATATATACATCGTCATGGAATACTGCGACGGTGGAGATTTATCGAGTTTTATAAAGAGAAAACACAAGCTGCCCGAAAACATTTGTCGGAGGTTTTTGCAACAACTTGCACTGGCGTTGAGATATCTGCGCGATCACAATGTTTGTCACATGGATCTCAAGCCGCAGAATTTATTATTGATGAGAAAACCCCAACTAGTGCTTAAAGTTGGAGGTTGGTGATCAGTACATTTCCTTTTTTTCTCTTTTCTTCTTTTTTTGAAAGAATTTGAAACTTGTATTTTAACAAAATAATATGCAACGGCGATTTACTTATTCCGCGCTATTTCAGATTTCGGTTTTGCACAATACCTTTCGAATTCGGAACACAAATTTGCGATACGCGGCTCGCCTCTTTACATGGCGCCCGAAATGCTGTTGAAGCACAAATACGACGCTCGCGTCGATCTGTGGAGTGTCGGGGTGATCATGTACGAGTGCCTTTTCGGGAAAGCTCCGTATTCTAGCAGTAGCTTTCAGGAACTAGCAGAAAAAATCAAAGATTGTCGACCTATAGAGGTGACTTAATTTGTGATAACTTTTTTTACTTAAACCTGCAAATATATACAGCTTGCTTTTTTAAAATCCCCAATCATTTTCTTTCTCCCACCTCGGGTTTTTTTATTTATTGCACGAATCGTGTTAACTCTTTCGGTACAAAGAGTGATTGTAGTCACTTGTCGAGCGGGATCTTGGTCTATGGAGTGACTACAATTACCTTTCGGATAATAGAGTTACTAGGTACGCGTAAGATATGTATTTTTGTGTTTTGTAATACATTAAATAAAAAAATTAAAGAAAGAAAAGGGAAACAGTCAACGTAAGGTAGAAATGCGATAAATAACAGTGTATATTTTACAATTCACAAAAAATTGTTTGCAAATGTTTCGACCTATGACTTAGGTCACTTTGCGTTGGCCCTTCGTTTCTTCTTTCCGTCAATTTGATAAAACTTGAAAAGTTTTGCCGCCATCGTTATACGATGTCGCATTAAATAAGTAATTTAATAATGTGCAAAGACTGTTAATTTGATCAGCGTCGTATAAATATTATGTACATTAATTCGCGTATGCTAAACGTATTTTTAATCATGAGTCATCCGTGAATGTTATTTCGTAGATTGTTATTTCTAGAATAATTAACATTATTCGTAGATACCGAAGGCGGCTCATGTGTCGATGACGTGCAAAGATTTACTCATGGCTCTATTGAAGCATAATCCTAGCGATCGGATAACGTACGACGAATTTTTCGCGCACGATTTTTTGGACCTAGAGCACGCGCCTGCGAAAGAAAATTATGATAAGGCAGCGGCGTTGGTGCATAAAGCTGTTGAAGCGGATGCTGATAAAAATGCGAAGGAAGCATTTTATCTTTACTGCGAGGCTCTTAGATATTTTATTCCAATTTTGATAAGTAAGAACGATCACATATAAAACTTGTAATTCATTTATAGATGATTGACGACTTTCGGTTAAAATTTTTAAAGTTTTTACAAATACATATTATTTATAAATTTATTGTAAATTACTTTGTTAGATGAAAACGATTTAAAACGAAAAGAAATATTACGACATCGTGTGAATGATTACATAAGGAGAGCAGAAACGCTTAAAGTGGCATTTAGAGACGATAATGATGAAAAACATCCGTCTTCCGAAAATAAAGGAAATACTTCACATTTGCAAAGAACTCCGTCCTTAGAGAGAAGCTCAGCATTCGCGTATAACGAATTGCGTTTGTATCATATTAAAATATTTTAAGTACAGAACTTATTTCTAGAAACTTTACGTATTTGATTATTTTTTACTATTATGTAAATGCAACAAATTAGGAATATTAATGTTATTAATTTTATTTTCTCACTGAAGCCGTGTTAGATTATGGCATCAAAAACAAGTAATTATTTATAACATTTTTTTTAATATATATTAAAATAAGTTCCTTTTTTACATGATATTATTCATATTATAAAAAAAAAAAGATGAATTATATCTCCTATTATCTTCTACGTTCAATATTATCCTGCAATTTAAATACATATAGTTTAATTTATATGCATTGCACTTAAATGTTGCGATGATGGTTGAATAAGATTTATTAATTTGTGAACAGAATTATTTACTAATCTCCCTAAAGAAGAGTTTTCGATATATTTTACTCAACCATTTCTATGCTATCTATGGGAGTAATGACACGTGAGAAACAATTAATTTTTTTTAATGTACTAGAAAAAAATACGATCTCTTGTTTCTGAAATCATGATTCCACATGGACTGCAGTAAAGTACCAAGATTCCTAAAAATAATAATTCCAACTTTTTAACTCATAACCTTGAATCATAAATCATGAACGACAGCCATTGTTTTTATCGTAGGATGTCTCAGCAAAAGTACTTCAGGTATGACGGACGCTCTTGAAATAGGAGAAGCTGCTGAACAGTATCTTGCTGAAGGCAGCTATGCCTTGGCTTTAGAAAAATTTCAATCCTGTTTAGGTATACTTGTATCTCTTTTGGGTAAGGAACCGTTGGGCCGAAGAAGAGATTTATTACATAAACAGGTGATTAGATTAGAAAATACATACTTTTACTTTCTAGTGTGAATAAATGTTCTTAATAATAAATAGCTAAAAGCTGCTTTAGCTCTATGCACAATAGAGAAAATATTAGGAATAGAAAATTGGAATTATTTAATTTCAGAATAAGAAAATGTGGGATGTATTAACGTATCATGAATTAAAAATGAAGAATTAAGAATAACTAATACCTACATTTCGTTCCTTTGTTTGAAGTAAAATAATTCCAAATTCTTCTTCCTAATATTTTCTCTATTGTGTGCCTTAATTTCAAGATAATTTCAAGATAATCCTAAGCTATCATTTTTATCTCTCGTTTCTTCTTTCTCATATCTTTCGTGTCTTCTTTGTGTCTGTTACTTACAATAATTCTTTGAATTAACCTTTAGACAAACAAAATATAGGAATTCCAAAACTTTATATCTGAACAATATATATATTTTTTCGGCAAAAAAATATTTTTGAGAAAATTCTAAAAATAATGTTAGACATTAGCGACTTTAACGTGAAAAAATTCAAAATAATAACTTCGAAAATACTCATAAAATAGATGAGGATTATCGTCCTCTTTATGCCATGAATTTATTTTATACTACTTGATTTTGTATTTACAGAGCTTCAGAGCCTACGATACTTTAGATTCACAAAATAAATTTCACAAAGAAAAACGAAATTGAAGAAAATTTGCATATTCATGGTTTTGGCATGAGGGCGGGCCATATATTATCATTGATATGATTAAGCACACACAAAAATAAAGCAGTAGAGATATATAATATATTATATGTGAATAACAATTTAACATGAAAGTATTGCAATTTTACTGTTTAATTTTGTTTAATTGTGCTACAATTTATTACATTAGTGATATAAGCAACTGAAGTGCAGTAGCGTTTTACGTTTCCGTCAGATTTGATTTTAAGTTTTTAACTTGAATTAAAATCATCTGGCAATAGGTTAAAACGCTACTATCATTTCTTAGTGAATTAAAATTCAACTTTGATATAGATATGTTTTGGACTTACTAGACATTTTATTTTAGTTTATCGAATCAAATTTTGCGAGAAATATTTATATAATATTGTCGATCAACAGGTACAGATTTGGATGAAAGAAGCCGAAAGTACAAAAGGACTTTTAGCTACTAAGGATATAGATTCTTCGCCACGGACAACCGACGAACAATGCATACTACAATAATTGATGTTAAATAATAGATATTCGATGCCATAGTAATTGATTATTTTTGTTATTAGAATTTATCTCACCGTTTTGCAACGTATAAATATACGATTTTCCACACTCTGTATTTTCTTTTTAATTATGCAAAAAATTATTTTATATTTATTATGTATCGAGATTTAGTAATCAATTTTTATAACCAATTGTCAATATCTATAAATATTTCATAAATATTTATATTTTAATCGATTTTTAAATTATTCTCTCATGGATCAATTAAGAAAATCAATATTTTCGTAGAGGATCGACTTGCGGAAGACGAGGGCGCGCACATCGCGGCGTCTTTACGACTTCCGGCATGGCCACGTGATCAAATAACGGTCACTGCTGCCCTTCCATTTTGTGGAATGGAAAATTTCTGAGCAGCACCTCCCCCTTTTGTGTATGTGCGTGTGTTTATATATAAAATGTGTGTGTGTGTGTGTGTGTGTATATATATATACAAAATGTATGTGTGTATACATATGTAAACTTCTTTCCTCTTCCCCTCAAACGCCCCTTTGCCCTTTGTCACTCGCCATATAAATCCCCACCACGTCATCACCGGCGCTTATATACATTCTCCCACTCCTTTGAAATTCTCTTTCCCCCCACCAACAATCACGAGATACCGGATGTGCGGCAACGTCGCAACCGTTAAGTACATAAGAACAAGGGGGGAGGGAGGGAGAGAACAGACAAGTCAGGCATAGGAGAGTACGAGAAAGAACTGGCAACATGTCCACATTCAAATCTGATCAGAATCCCAGTTGGCTGCTTAGTAAAACAGTAGAAAACGCGAAACGGCAGAAAATTGCGGCACGCGATTCCCCAAAACAACGTATGTCTTGTGTGGGTATCGCAATGTAATATCACGTTGAACGAAAGGACGCCGTTGAGCGCGCGCGTCAACATCAGCATTGACGGTGTGCATGTGTCTGTGACGGTGTTCAGTTGTTCCGTAAGGTATCGGCGACGTGTTTTCGCGGTGTTCGTACGTTCTCTCTCGTTCTGTCTCACGCTTATCGTCTCGGTTGTACGCGACCCCAGCGCAGGCACTTGGAACGGTGTAGCGCAACGCGACTAGTGAATCTCCACCAAAAGCCGCTGCCTCGTGTACTTTAACGTTGACGCGGCGACGGCGGCGGCGGCAGCGGCGGCGGCGGCAGCAGCGGTGGAGGCGGTGACGGCAGAGGTGTCGACGGCGCGGCGGCGATTCTTACTACCTTCCGGCCATTTCGTACAAATTTTTGCGCGCGCCCGCGCTCGTTGCCTCTCAAGCGCACGACTTGATGTAAATGGTACAAGTGTGCTGTATTGTAGTCGTGTCGCGAAGAAAATTCCGCACGGCGACGTGGAATTATGTGCATGGATATACCACTTGAAGAGAAGAAGAAGATGGGCGATAAGAATATCGACGAAGACGTACAGATTATCGAGGCCCACATTTACAAAGGTAAGATTTAGAGGTTAGGTGGGTGGCGGCGACGGCGGCAGTAGCAGCGCGATGGTGGCAGCGGTGGCAAACTCGTGCGTATCTTTATTCCTCCTCTTTCTTTTCGCCCTCTCTTTTTCTCTTCCCCTTTTTTCACTCGCTCACTGGATGTACGATCTTATTGTCCTCGTTTTTCTTCATATTGTACACATTCGCGCTCTCTTTCTACAGTTAATCGTACTATTCCGTTTATATTAGTATCCAAGAGGTGTATGCTTCTGCGAAGTGTATCTCATCATACAGAACCGGCGTAACGTGCCGGCAACTATTCGTTAGCAAGGACGAAGTCTGTCGTGATAACGTTCGATAACTCAATTAAACTAAACTTAACGTTATCATATATTTATAACATAATACCAGTATAGTGAACTATTTTAAAACCAAATATTAGAAAATTATGTGAATAAAATATCAGAAAGGGGATCCTGGAGTCGTCTGTTTTACCGATTTCTTTTAAGTAGACTACTTTTTTTTTGGCTGTGTAGAATGAAAAATTCTTTTCTGTAATTTAAAGTACATATGCTAATACAGGGTGGACGGTCGATTTGAAAGAAAAAAAAACTATCATTAAACTACACAAGGAAATACATATATTACTTATTGATTAATAATAATTTATATTTCTTAATACATTTATTTCCACTAAAAAGATTATGTTTCATTACATAACATATAACTTTTTTAACAATAAATATTATATTGCTTTCAAATTTGGCTTTGGTATCTGAATAATGAGTTTTATTATTCATCGTGTTCGTACGTTCTCTCTCGTTCTGTCTCATACGTCTCGGTTGTACGCGACCCCAGCGCAGGCGGTATATCACTGACACTGAAAAAGAGAGTGTTAATGTACATAAACGTCTTTACTTAGATTTATTTTTCAATTTGTACATTAACTTTGAATATTAAAGTAAACGTTTAGTAGCTAGACATGTGTTCCAATTTTCGGGCATTTATTAACAAAAAGTTATTATTTAATTACAAATAATTTATTTATAAATATAAAATCTAAAAATAAAGTTTGTGCATATAATCTTTCACAAATATTTAATTGTCTATTAATTAGTAACTGTTGGTTTTATTTCTGTTAAATAAATTTTAATCTTTATTATACGTATTGAATGATGAAAAAAAAAATTATTTTGATAGAAAAAATTATAGCTTCAACAATGATTATCTTTTAAACATTTAATTTGGGACATGTATTTTATATAGATTTTAATGAAATTCTTAAAGATGGGAGAGATAAAATGCTATGATTTTTTATGTTTATGTTATGCTATATTTTTATATATTTTAATATATATTATACACACATGCACAAGCATGCGCGCGCGGATACATACACGCACACGCACACACACACATTTTATTATACATATTTTTTAATAAGATTGTTACATTGTAGCGAAATTAGAGAAGCTAGAGTTGATTTTTACAAAAATACATAAATTTGTCATTTATTTATTGATTTGTGATTTACTGAGCATTATATGAGTATCTATCTGTTATTCAAATTCACTCAACATACTCATATACATACGTATTCAATTATATCAGATGTTGTTCATGCATCTGCTTTCACAGAAAACATTGAAATATCTAGGTACTTGCTCAAAGTCATTGATAACACAGGATGTATTCAGAAATCAGTTTTTATATACTTAGTCAGTTTGTACATTTTTTGAGTTTTTAATTTTTTATTTGCAACTTAATCTATTTGTATCTAAATATTTTTTTAGCAATGTAATTTATGTAAAAACTATTAACAGATCCATTAATTGTCCATCGTGAATAATGAAAGTATTTCAAACGACATTTTACAATAATTTATGCGAAGCATTATTTTTTAAAACACTATATTATTTTTTCGGTTTTGTTTTTCCAAGTTTTATTTTCCCAGTTTTTATCGTTTTGAATTTTTTTAAATCGGATTTCCTTAAATTCTTAGTTATTTTGAAATAGTTAACAGTTTGAAAATTGACAAATCCTATGAACTAATTTCGAAAAATATGTTTTCGACATATTATTTCTGGGAAATTTTTGAATACTAACAGCATTACGTGCAACAAGTTGATATATTAGCGATACGACAGTACTATTATTTTCATTGACACGTGTAAGAAATGACGTGTAATTACGATCTTCTATTGATAACGTTTTCCGGAGACAAATTCCCCTAACAAGAAATGCGTTTATATGTTGATGCACAAGTATATTTCTTAATTATGCATAATTAGTATAATGCCTCTAATCTTTATTTCATTTGATAGCCGCATTTACTTAGAAGAATGATGTCATAGTTTATTTAAATCAACCGGTAAGTTGATCTTTGGCGGCACAGAAGCGTTATATCATCGTTATAAATTGTAATTTGCAAAGAAAAAAAGAGAAAAGAAATTATATTTTTATTTAACTCTGGAATAAGGAAGATTGCAAAATTACTTTTATACATGAAATAAGTTAAATTCATCCTTCTTAAACTTGTACGTATTATCTTGATTTGTATGTACATGTACATATACTGCATATATATATGCGTTATATACTATTTTCATTTATGCGTTTACACAGCTGATCGGTTATCACATTTTATCGATTATCGATATAATAAAATTATGTTTGCCAAGCAATACAAAACATATATATATACATGTCTATCTACTAGATAGCGTAGGTTTGTTTAAGTGATATAAAAAGTATGACATATTATTTTGGAATTTTTATATTCACCATAAAAAATGAACACGAAAATAAAGTGTGCCACTTTTAAATTTCACGAAATTGCCTCGCGTCGTGTTTCTCGCGCCATTATTGCGAAAGTATGAATTTTCTATACATCCTATACTTGTCACTGCGTCGCCGTGTCTCTATGTAATAATGCAATACGTTGAACGCAGCATGTTTGTAAGCGCATCGTGTAACGCGGAGCTAAGCTCGTCCGCCGATGTGTCCGTCAGTCGGCGACTCGTATATGTTACGCGCGTTCTATGTGTACGTTATGTACTAACTAGCGAGAGTTGGGAGGACATGTGCGACTCCGCGGTACATAATGTATCCGCCCCTAGTATATAAGGGCGGATACATAAGGAGCGAGGTGTGATGTAACAAAGAGGCGACTCTACCGAAGACGGCCGAGCGTTGCCGAGTGTGCGCTCGCGCAGTACTATGTTTCGCATAAGTCGCATGCGTGCCTTCGTTGTTACATAGGAGAGCGCGCAATATACCGCGCGAACTTCGTCAGCTGCTGTGAGTGAACGGCGCCATATGCAATTTTGCGCGAGCCGCACAAAAAATTACGCGTGCGTAAAGGATGGAAGGATGTGATGGTACATCACGTCAGGCTTTTTTCACCGGATCTGGCTTCGACCTTTGCTCTCTTTACGCTCTATACCACTTCCCGCCGTAGATATAGGAAAACGGGGCGAGATATGACCTTCATCCTGTTGGCTTTATCTATCGGCCTCAAGACGGAAATGCATTTCATTAACGTTCTATTGCGAAATCTATTTGCTATACACCTCGCTTGCGCACATATTAGACTCTACTATATTGCGTAACAATTGTTCATCAAGCTCATACTTTCGCAAAGTACAGGAAATAGAACGAGAGCTATTATCGCGTAAATAGAGAGCTGATGCGTGTGAAAGAGGAAGAGAGAGAGAGAGAGAGAGAGAGAGAGAGAGAGAGAGAGAGAGAGAAAGAGAAGACAAAAAAGACAGAGATAGTCAAGTTATAGCAGAATGTGAATAGATTGAAAGAGAATATATATCCGTTCTCCACCGCCATATTGTACTTTTTAGCAATCCCTTTACCCCTCGCGCCATCTATGCACGCCAATTTTCCCCCACCCATTCTATTCGTCCCCGCCTTCAGTTTCACCCCACTCCTGAATCAAATGTGCTTTTGCTCGGCATAGCAACAGCAGCGATAGAGGGCTACTATAAATAGATCGCTACGACCTACAATGTTGCCAAAACGACTGGCCCAATGTGTATTGCGATCAAAGTAAACGCCACCAAGGCCACGACGGCAACGTCGCAATATTCGATTTAGTATGATCTAATCAGCCATATATTTGCGTCATATATGTTGTTTTCAACAAGGAATTTCATAGAACTTTGTGAACTTGTGAACTTGCAATGTGTATATAATACGCACTGAATAAATAATGACGCATACATCTATATGCGAGTACACTAAAGAGAATTATTTCAGAAAAAAATATGGAGCTTGGATATTAAAAAGGCGTTAAGAAACTTGAGCTTACACATACAATTCATGAACAATTGAAGAAATATATTTGCAATAGTCCTTTTTTTTTATTTCAAGTTTCTCAAGTATCGATCAAGCGACGTCGCTTTTCCGCGCGCATATTTCTATGTATTCGTATATATGGTTGAAAAGTGAGACGAGAGAGGGAGTGGGCGTGCCTGGAGCACGAGAACTGGCAACGCCGCGCTCGTAAATCATGATTAAAATAATAAGTATAATACATATGTAGTATATAAGGCGGCCGGGTTTATGTATGTAAGAGCTGCGCAATAGCGCAAGCGGAGCCAGCATTTGGCTGGGTTCTGCGCAACTTCGGTACTCCCACCACCCTTTACGTGGTCCCCCACTGCTGGGGCGAATCGTTCGGTGAGTTGAAGTGATGGAGAGCAGCGAATCAAGCGCGCGAGCGTTAGAGAGGCGGGGGAGTAGGGTACCTGAAACCACGACTATATACCCCCGCGTGCGTTTACCAATCTTGGCACTTTGCCTGAAAGAGCATATCGACCGTGCGACGTTGTCACATCGTCCGGCGCGATCTTACGCGCCAGTCCTGGCTACTCTTTGAGTGGTATGTACCTAGGCTCCTGCAACTGATCCATGTTACACGATGCACGTGATCCAAGTCGAGCGCTTGCTCTGTTTAGCGTAGTTTACTATCTTTTCTCAGAAAATTTGAGATTAAAAGTGAAACATTTGCGCGTGAAGAAATAAAATCCTTTTCAGATCCGACATATATATATAAAATAATTGATGTATTTATTCGAAAAATAGCAACTTTTTTGTAAAAGTTTAACACTTACAATGAAACGACAAACACGTTGGTTTCTTTTCAAAGTTAGTTGTGTAGTAGTTTTTGAGAGCTTTGTATCTGTCAGTTGTATTTTGCATCGCAAAAGTATTTCTTCAACTAAAAGATCTATTTGTAAAGATGTATTAGCAATATTACATGAGTATTATAGAAGATGACTTACATATGATCATCTAATAATTCAGAGTTTACATATTACTTATCTAGAATTAATTGGATCTGCACGAGATTGAATTTTGTCATTCTGTGGAAACACATTTTATATGAAAGTGTATCGCGAAACAAGTAATTTAATTATAACATTAAACTATCTATCCACATCGATCGATCGGCTTTAGGTATTGTTCATCGCCAAGTGCATTCGTCTCGATTTGCCTCCTTACGCTTCAAGTAACACAGATAATAGAAAAGAAGTGAAAAAAAATCGCGGGCGAGTATCCTGTACTCATTCACATATACAGGGTGTCGCAGAATTAGTGGATCACTTTCGATTATTAATTCGTATATATACTCATTAACTAGTATTTTTCCAAGTGTCATACCAGCAGAATTACAAGCACATTTTCATGCAGCAACGCGCGATTACACGTGTTGCGTTAAGATGTTGCGCCGTCACTATAAATTGAATAATGTTTTCGATCTTTGAGCGAACAACCATACGGACTCATAAATATCGTAAGAATACCGGATCCGGTTCGAATGCAGTCCGCGGAGGACGACACTAGCGAATACATACCTAGCCTAGCACGCGGTACAGTCCGCGTAGAGAGTGTTGCGGCGGATTCGCGTGGCGTTTGTGGGCTAGAGACCGTGAAAATGCCTAGTGTCCTCGTAGCGAGCGAATAGCTCTCGATGTTGCAACACGGCCTATCACTCGGACGGCCTGAAATCGAGGTCCGCGCTGAAGACCTGGGAGAGCTCGCGCGATAGTATGGCGCTGTCCTCTTTCGAGAGCGTCGCGATCTCTGGGAATGCTCCGATGGTCCGCAGAGCTCCTACGCCCGGACGAGAAGCATGTACGTAGTCGACGGTGGAGCGATACCGTTTACGTACCCCGTTCTCCCCTTGTTTCACCTACACTTACCCTCGGGGTATCGAGCGCGATAGTGGTGGCGCGGTAGCGACGGCGGCGGCAATGATGATGATGAGAGTCTTTCGCGCCACCTGGTATAATCGTGTCGGCACACAAAGTGAAACGTCGTCATCGTGCTCATCAGGGGAAAGCGTGAAAGCTACGAGAGTCGAAAACTGCTTAGAGGGACAACAACTTTCCCGTGTGTGTCCGATTGTATTCTTGGCTGTCCACCATTGATACCGTCATCCTCCTCTTCCTCCACCTCCTCCTCCTCCTCCTCATTTCTCTTCTCTCGCGCCTTTTCTCTTCCTCTTGTTTCTAGTCGTGTAACATGGATCGCGCGCGATACCGTCGGCGGTGTTCGTAGGTGGACGTGCTGTACATTATAACCTCAACGAGGAAGCATTGTTGGCGTGTGTCAGACCGTCCAGCTACGCATCGAAATGTGATTTGGGCGCATCGAGTTTTGGAACATTCTCTTGACCATCGAGGATGAGGAACGGCTTTACGGATATACCGGTCGCGAGTGCTGACAGTAGCACGGACGCCATATGGCTCGAGAAAAACAGTCCGTCGCGGATGGCATCCGAGCGAGTATCGCTTAGTGAACAGCTAAATGAAACATATTCGTTCATTAATTCATTCAGTACGTCTTTCCTTCGTACACACACATATATATATATATACACACACATATATATATACACACACACACATATATATATACACACACACACACACATTATTATATATATATATATATATATATATAATTTGAGCCACGAAAAGCTTATATATATATATATGTATATATATAAGTGCGAGAATTCAATCCTTTGGCTATTCCAGTGTTTTTTCCGATATCGTAGCATGCGAAAATTATGATTGCATTTTGCTATGGTATTAAAAGTTAAATACGTCACAACTATGTATACCAATTTCGATCGTTATATGGATTTACCGGTATTCGAATTGATATAACTTTTGATAAAATTTCCAAACTGACATGTAGAATTTTGGTACTGCTGGAATGTTTACGCTGCAGTTTGTATTTCTCATCATCGCGTCGCGGCATGTCGCGCGATGCGCAGTATCGTGAAACGCGCGGTATCATCGGACACGCGGTGTGGCGACATGCCCGAGCGTAATTTGCGACTGATCGATCAAGGATCTTTAATTAATTGAGACTCGTCACGTGCGCAGTGTTTGGTTATCCTACTCTTTGACTTTGCATGAAAGTGTGTTTATCCCCGCGTTTGTGCTCTATGTGCGTACACAAAGATTTTCAATTGTTAAAACGTGACTTGGATAATAAGAAATTTAAAGCGATGTGCGATTTGTCACTTTTGCAGCAAAATCCTATAAACTTTCCATAAATCTTGAAGTGCGCAGTGGAGCAAAAATTGTGGAGCAAAAATTGTGGAGTAAAAATTAATTGGCAAAATAAATAAATTTCAAAAATTAATGTAAAAGATGGTATTCTGCAGTACTTTTCATATTTTTTTATTCGATTCTGACTTGATTTTGAATATGCACAAATTTTTAGTTTAGATACGCAAGATATACAATAATAAGTTTTGGAACTGATTTATTATATCTGCGCACTAGTGAATTATGACAAGAATTTTCAGCGATTGCGTGCTAATGACAATTTTATATTAGCTGGAGTAATGATGGGATCGAAATGTATTATAATTATTTTTATATTGACATATTTGTCTATGTGTTGAATATATTAGACGCATTCATAGTTTAAGAGTATTAAGAACATAGTGATTGATAAAATGCATTAATGATCGAAAGAATAATGAATAATGCGAATAATTTTATAGTTAAGAATACAAACGGCATATCTATCGGCAGAATTTCTTGGTTTCTTGATTTTTTTGATATAATAAAAATCGCAGGTATTATGTACATATTATTTTAATTTTTCTCTCTTGAAATATTTTTTTTTAAATCTCAAACATTCTTCAGATTTTGATGTCACAAGCATCCTTTAGATCTCTTTAAATTTGTCAAATATGTAGATTTTTCCTTCAAGAAATTAAAAAAAGATGTATAAATTCTCTAATCTATGCGTATAAATTGTACGCAATCTTTCTGCATATTAGCAATAAAAAAAGTTTTGTCCTTTCAAGACTGTGACTTACACTTTATTCTTTTTCAGCTTTCGATAAAGTCGTCGTCAAACAAGAACGTCCAGATGAAGCGGAGATCCGTGAATTGGCTGCCAAAATGGTGGAAGCAAACAAGGCGAAAATGTTAGCCAATATGCCTGTAGCGCAACAGCAACAGCAACAACAACAGCAACAACAACAGAGGCCGCAATGTCTTCTACCACAATCTAATTTTCACGGTATCCTCGGGTATTTGAACAAACGGCCAACCGACGGACCGTCCGTGCCGAAATCGCCATCGACGAGTAGTTTGGAAAGCAAGGTACCGTCGCCCGACGACGACAGTCAAAGGGGACGATTCGGCTGGACGAGCTTCGACGATTGTCACATACCTTATATACTACGCTCCGGCGAAAAGTATTGCGCCGTACGCATTCTAGAGTCTAAGCTTCTCAACAAGTACCTGAGCTATCTGCATTCGGACATCTATAGTTGTACGTGTATCAGAAGTTATTACATTACGGAAGCCGAGAGCAAACTGTTTAACGAGATCAACGCTAAGCATTGCGAGAATCAGTTCGGAAGGGACGCGTTCACGTGTAAAGACTTGGTGGTACGACTCTCGGACGCGAAAGAGTTTTATACGTTTCTCGATGTGTGTTATACGAAACTGACCGCCGGTACCAATCCGAATGTGACGAGCGGACGTAAGGCGGAGAAATGCGGTTTTATACGGATAAACAAAGAGTCTGTGGTTCCTTATACGGTGAAGGACGGTCTGCAATACGTGCCGCTGTTCTACTTCGAGGGTGAAACGGAAAATCTTAAGCTGAAGGCGGAGAAGCTCGAGGGCTGGGATCTCTCGTATCTGAAGTTCTGCTGCAAAGTACAGGGTATACGTAATGAATTGTTCGCTAGTGAAACGTGCTCGGTGATTAGTTTGAGTGATATTAAGAGTTACTTTCCACCGGGCACCGGCTTCGAGGACTATTGGCCGACGAAAGTTATGGATTCGCAATTACTGGTGAACAGTAACGGCGGCGGTAGCGGCGGCGGATGGACGAAACAGCCGCCCACACCGCCGGCAGCTAAGCCTGCTGTGCAAAACGCGAGTAAGATCGTACCTCCAATGAACGCGCGCGCTGCACCGATGTCCACTATAATACAACGGGGCGTCGTGAACGCGCCACCGCCTTCGATGCCGCGAATAGGGCAACCGAGGCCTGTCGCAACGACACACCCCTCGCATTCTTCTCCATCGGGACTTGCCACCGGTAGGTCCAACATAGTGTCCCAATCTATGCTGAACAATGTTCAAGGTGTAGTCGCCAATGGCTGGTCAGGCCTCGTCGGTGGTCAACCCACCTTCCAAACGGCACTCACTCCGCAGGCTAATTCCCTCATACGTGCAACTCAGAGTATGCACAACGTAAGAAAATCTTCTTTTTATTAGAAATTATATTGAGAACGATGTTAATTTCACGTCAGTTTTTTTTTTTTATTATTTTTTCATACCGCATATTGCTTTAATTTTATATTATCAATATATCAAGTTTAGTTTTTCATTTTCAGCAAATGTCTATTACTCCTAAAAGCTATTCCCAGCAATCTAGAAGTAGAGCAAACAATAGTGGAACAGCAGCTCAATATCCTGGAATAACCATGCGAAGTATTGCTGAAGCTGAACCACCACCGCCTCTTGTTAGAGCAACTGTTCACTCCAATCAACCCAACCTCGGGTGTGTATTAATAGAACTTTCTGACATATAGCTTTTGACATATAAGTGTATTAAATTTACAAAGCTTTTTAAACAATTTTTAATATGTCTTTGTGTTTCTTATTAACAGTTTTCTTTGGCTATGTAGTGTTCTTACTTATAGATGGGCTTGCTTACGATACAGTAAATCTGCTAGCGCATAATAATGACTGTATAATGTCCAAGCCAAATATTGCACATTTCTTTCACGATATTACACGTATCATCACATTTGAATCTCTTTTTATTTCATTTAAATCGTTTCTTTTTTAATACAAAGTCTTGGAAAAGATGGAATTTACTCGACTTAAGTAATTGCTCAAAATAAGAAAAAAAATTAAGGCTTAATTGACTCACTCAATCAAAATTTATGATATAATAGGCTTAATGAGCCAGGTTAGTTGTTCCTTAAAGTATTATATGTTTGCAACTGACTTAATAACAGACGTTTCGATCTATGTTTAATGAAAATCTTCAGTGAAAATATTGCAGTAAGTTAATATAAAAAAAAGAAAAAAAAAAACAAATTGCATGCATTAAAATTTATATGAGAGACAATTAATCCGAAAAGACGAAACGCATGCTCAGTTCTTTGATTTTTTATTATTTTTAAGTGCTAATTATCATTTATGTGTTTAATTTAACTTACTGTAATATTTTATTATATATTAAATCGATCGCAAATGTATAATACTTTCGGTACGGGCAAACAGCCTAGATCATGAGCCTGATACTTTAATATCATAATTTAAATTATTAAATTAATTAATAAATTTTGTGCAAAAATACTGGCTAAAATTTATGCTTCTTTTAAGAGAGGGGGATTATTATTCGGTTATATTATGATTGCAATTCGATTTTGATACCAAATAATGGCAACAGCGACACGCTCTCTTGTCACTGAATTAACAGCTTTTTCTAATAAATTCAAAAGTAAAAATTTTTTTGTTAATAAAAGAAAACTTATTCTGCATTTCACACAAGTATCGAGCATTAGAATCATACGCTTATTCTAGCTCGTAAAATTGTGTCTTTATACTTGTATTTATACATAATTGTTTATATACATATAATGTGTAATTAATTATTATATATAAAGTATCTGCACCACAGCTTATTGCATTTGTACATACAACATATGATTTTTTTTTTGTATAGTTATCCCACCTATGGGAAGGATGACTGGTGAGTTTCCCTGTAAAATATATTTTAATCATATAGATTATTATAAGAAGTGAAGAAAAAGCATGCACAAGTTCGACATTTATAGTTCTTGGATTCTTTTATATAAATATCAATATTGATAATTAATCTGTACGATTATTTTTAAAGCTTTCTTGAGTGATAAGTAATACACATTGATTCTGTCGTACGTAAATCTCTTTACAATATACATTTAACATAATCATAATGACGTGGTATTTGAATAATATTTGAAATATTTAATTAATGTCCGAGATGCAGATGATGTCTGAAATAGTTGAGTATTGTTACGATTATTACGGATCTGTTTGTAAAATTCGCTTCTTTGTTTGATAGGTTTTGCATAAATCAGTTGCAATAATAATTTTACACTTTTCTACATGCTGAAGATATAACGAAATTATAGTTATTTGTAAATTGAATTGTTTTTGGAGGAAGATATAGCTAACACTGTGTTATTGCACTTAAAGATCCTGAAGGGAGAGTTTGGAAGGCAATATCTACTTTCTAATTGCAACCATGGTGCAGCAAAAAAAATTAATTGACCAAAAAGTATTACAGATGACTATTTTGAGCGAAATTTTGGGCATAAAGGACGTATTTCATAATAGGAACTAATAAAAATTACTAGATTTAGATGTATGCGTGTAAGATTAAGAGAAATTATCGAAGCAGAGTCATATTTTCCGGCAAAATTTTAAACGCATGCATCTATGAATTTAATTGCCATATCCGAACAAAAAATTGTGCAGACAAACAAAAGCTATTTAGCTTCTGTATCTATTTTTATCGTCAATTTAATTTTTAATCGATGATCTTAGTCGAAAATTTTGAATTATTTTTTTCTTATAAAACACATCATAGTTGGGAATGTTTAACGCTCGATGATTTATGAAAAAATTAATATACAATTGAATGTACACTTTTATTTTTAGATGAAATATTTTCTCAAGTTGAAAACACATTAATTTGAATATATATAATGACAAAAATACAAAACTATATTTTTATTGGATAAGAATCCAAAGTCCAGGAATTAAAAATCTAAAACAAATTAAAGCAAAATTAATTTAATTTAATATTACATAATAGGTCAATTTCCGGTTTGTTGCAAGATAAAGGACTTTTTCCAGACTTTTCCCTTTAGGGTTTCCAATTTGAATTACCAATCGTGTGTATTTTGTTACGCATCACATACCAGATATATAACATTCTATAACATTTAAATGGCTTGAAATTTGCATAAATATTATATACAAATTATCTACTGCTTGGAAAAAGCTGGAATTTTTATAAATTTTTTTTTTTTTTTTT